TTATTGCTTGAGGCCAGGAGTTTGAAACCATGGGCAACACGGTGAGAATCCATCACTATAAAAATTTAAATTAAAAAAAAATTAGCTGGACATGGTGGTGCACATCTGCAATCCTAGCTACTCAGAAGGCTGAGGCAGGAGGATCCCTTGAGCCCAGGAGTCTGAAGCTGAGTGAGCTATGATCATGCCACTGCACTCCGGCCTGGGTGATAGAGTGAGACCCTGGCTCAAAAAAAAAAAAAAAAAAAAAAAAAAGGGTATTACCTTCCCACACCAACACCTCAGCACAGACTTCCCATTTACCATGAACAGTTATCACTATTCCTTTTACCTTGAGCACCCCACTGTAGCCTCTGGATCATTCCCCATCCTCCTATCTACCACTCTAAGGTTTCTAAGGCAATTCCAAGGTCATGATGAGAAGCCTTTAGAGTAGTCTCCAGGAAAAACAATGGATCAGGCCTCAGCAGAACTCCTCTTTAGTATTCTCCCTAGTTCTTTACTGCCCCTGCATTATACTTATGTTATCCTTGAACCACCAAAATTCCCCAACTGGCTATGGCACCCAGTCAACGCCTGCACTTCCCTCTCATAGCCGTATATGCCACTATTATTCCTCTGCCTGACGCCATTAAAAAAAAAAAGAAAAAGAAAAAAGTGTTCCTTTTCTCAGGCTGATGGACTTGGATAGAGATGAATTAAATGGCAGAACACAAACTAATCCACCAGGTATGAGCAAGCATCCATTATCTTCATTCCCCCAAAAGTATGTACATTAAGAAACTGGCATTAAAAGAGATGATTGGTAAGAGAAATTTTATATGAAAGAATTCCAGGCTATACAGAGGCGATTTAGAGCAGCTGAGAAATTTTAGGGGTCACTATAGGGCCATTTCCAGGCCTGCTGTCAGGTTAACGCCCTTAAGGGCAGTGTTTACAACCTGGAATAAGGGTGGTGAAAGCAATGGGCTTAAACTCTATTTATGTGTGATCAGTTTCCACCACAAACTAACCTAACTGTGCTCATCTAGTATAATGCACAACTATAGAGGAAAAAAATTTAAACATAAATTGTAATTCATCCTCAGAAACTGACCCTAACTAAAGGACACTTTTGAAACAGGCAATCACTGTATGATGCAATGATGTGTCCTATATAGGACCTTGGGGGATCTGTGTAGTCCCCAAGATTCTTCTTTATTCATACCACATTCTTGCAAGGATATTACCACACATGAGCTTGTAGAATGAGATCCAAAGCCCTCAGGTCACAGGAGCCCACTGAATCACTTGCCCAGACAAGTGCATTCAGAAGCCCTGAAAATTTCTCTTTAAACTTGAAAATGGAATTCCAAATTCAGTTTTCAGTAGCTATACCTTAAGAATGATATATTTGAGATGGAGCTGCAGACGGAATTGGAACCTCTGGCTAAAGTGTGATCATATTTCTCCAGTATTACCTCAATGACCAGAGAGAGTGGGTCTATATGCTGAAGAAATTTGACCCTATGGGACAACAGATGTGCTCAGCCCACCCAGCTTGGTTCTCCCCAGATGACAAATACTCGTGACACCAAATCACCATCAAGAAACGCTTCAAAGTACTCATGACCCAGCAACTGTGCCCTGTCCTCTGAGGGTCCCTTAAATTTCATGTTTCTTGTGCCACCTGCACCCCCTCAGAGACTCCTTAACCAAACTCTTCAATCTGTGAGCCATGACGTCATTTTACCAGCCACGCTCTTTGGAATCCAGTCTCATCCTGGCCTTTGATCATACTTGTGTGAGGCAGTCATCGTAGCATCCTCCAGAAAGGGAACAAGTTTGACTCTTTTTTTTTCTTCACATTTTAAATTACTGCCAGGTTATTAAAGATAAATTGATTTGAAAGAAAACAGAAAGATATATTTAAGATTCAATGTAATATCCACCACATCACCTACAGAGAAAGTCTAATTTAGAAACTATCTACTTTGAAAAATACCATAACCCAAATACCAAAGCATGTTTAACTTCCCACAAAAGAACACCAAAAGAAAGAAGATAGAATTGATTTTGGAAACTAGATCTGGCACTAGTGGTATTTATTTTCACGTTTTATAACTACCTTCAGTCACTTAATCCTATTATTAAAGAATTAAAGGAAATCAAAGAGATACCAAATAAGACCAGCAATTTGGAAGCCAAGAGGGTAAAAATTAGGAAGCTGAAAAAGGAACACACATAACTAACCAAGTCAGAGTGTTTTAACATCATAGCATACTGGTGGCTAATTCCCTTCAAATAGGGCCGGGCATGGTGGCTCACACCTGTAATCCTAGCATTCCGGGAGGCCGAGGTGGGTGGATCGCTCTAGGTCAGGAGTTGGAACCAGCCTGAGCAAGAGCGAGACCCCCTCTCTACTATAAATAGAAAGTAATTGGCCAACTAAAAACATATATAGAAAAAATTAGCCGAGCCCAGGAGTTTGAGGTTGCTGTGAGCTAGGCTGACACCATGGCACTCACCCTAGCCTGGGCAACAAAGCAAGACTCTGTCTCAGAAAAAAAAAAAAAAAAATTCCCTTCAAACAACAAATTATAGAAAAGTTTCCTGATACCAAGCAAAGAGGTCTAATTCCAGCTTTGCTAACTCTTCACAATCATTTTATTCATCTGAGGTTAGCCCTAAATTCCCTAAAACAAAGCTTACAATCACATCCTTCTTCAATTAATATCCTCTCTCTTATGGAAGAAATGTACTTTCCTTTCCATCTTTTCCTTCTCAAACCCTGCATATCCAACCTCTCAATCTCTGACCTGGTCCCTAAAAGGGAAATGTTCCTTCCATCTATCCAAGTCCAGGTACTTCATTCATTCTTTTCTCCCACTGGTTCCTACCTTTTAGCCTTTTACAAGACAGAGTGTTCCTCGTGGGTGGGGAGAGAATACCTTCCATCACCCCAGCCTCAGGTTTCCTGACATCTCAGTTTGCATATTTTTCTTCTTAACCCCCAGTAATCCAGTTTGTTTTAACAATTCAATGAAACCTCAAACACAAGGGTTACTGACTCCCAATAGCCAATTAACAGCAGACCAACCTCACTCTTTTTCTAAGCCCTTGCCCTTTTTCCTGTACTGCCAGCCCTGCCTTGGCTCTCCATTCTCCAAGAGAAATTCAAGGGTGTGGTTAGATATTAGTCTTCCCTCCTTGAATCCTAAGTGATTCCCTCCACTGTCGTCTTAGAAAAGACATCAGAAAACAGTCATAGACCTATGTATCTCCAGCTACCAGCAAATATTAAGCCCTTGACTTTACCTCACCTGTCCAAAATCAAAGCCTTCCCAGGATTCCCCTCTATTTTACCTTCACTTCATTTCTACCACAGTATTATCACCACCAAGTCAGTAAAATCTTCTTTCACAGGTATCTACCAAAGTCTGCACGTTTTTTCCATACTAATATTGCAACTCCTAATGGTTAACATGGTTTTTCCATATTAATATTCTGTCCGCTATGGTTGCAGGTTTGCTTCTTTCCCCGAGTTCAAAATAGACAGCAATGTCCAGAATGAGAAGTTGCTGTTAACACTCCATCACCTCGGACTAGCACTCACCCTCAACTGAAAAGCAGTCTGGAGGGCAAGGTGGGGGAAAATGGAGAAGAGAGAAGCTTGGCTGATGCCACTGCCCTCATGTCATCTGCTACATATCTGCATTTCTCCCCAGCTACCAAACCTTTTACATAAATTTCTGTACAGCCCACAAGTTAAGAAGGGGCCACCAAACCTACTGAATAAACCCATTAAATAAGAAGTCCTTTACTTCCAGATCAGAAGAAATCATCACGGCAACTATTTAAATGTAAAGATACCAAGTATGTGATGTTATTTTAAAAACAAAAAAACCACCGGGCCCGGTGGCTTACAGCTGTAATCCTAGCACTCTGGGAGGTTAGGAGTTCGAAACCAGCCTGAGCAAGAGCGAGACCCCCATCTCTACTATAAATAGAAAGAAATTAATTGGCCAACTAATAAATATAGAAAAAATTAGGTGGGCATGGTGGCGCATGCCTGTAGTCCCAGCTACTAGGGAGGCTGAGGCAGAAGGATTGCTTGAGCCCAGGAGTTTGAGGTTGCTGTGAGCTAGGCTGACACCATGGCACTTTAGCCTGAGTGAACAACAGAGTGAGACTCTGTCTCAAAAAAAAAAAAAAAAAAAACCACCAAAAAACCCCCAAAACCCCTTCTCAACCAGCCTCCACAAGTTAAATTAACTTTGGCAAAGTACTTGTCACCAGGGCCTCGGGCAATAATAAAATAATCTAACCGAAACCTACAGAAAAATCTGTTTTCTGAAAGGAAAAACTTAACTACGTAAGGCAAGCGACCAGTTCTCCGTCTCTGCAGAGGCTACACTAGGAGGCACGTCAGAGCTGCTGCGGAGTTCAGGGGAGCTCCTTCCACACAGTCAGTCAAAATCTGAAGTCGCAGGAGCGGCTGTTAAGTTAACTCACAGCTAAGAATAACACTCGACTTTCCAAAATAAAAACACGAGGAGAGAAAGTCCCCGGGGCAAGGATGCGGGATGAGGCGGAGGGAAGGGGCTTCCAGCCCCGAGCATCATCTGTTAGCCAGGAGTCGGACGCAGTTGGCGCACCTCCCGCCCAGGACCGCGCGGCGAGGACCACGTGAGACCCCCGGGGCCGGGCCGGGCGAGCGACGCCCGCCCAGAGAGGGCGCCAGTTTGCAGGCGCGGTGGACGGCCCCTCGCCCACGTTTAACCCGGCTCCCAGCCGGGTTTCCAGGTGCTTCGCGCTCATTCTGAATTAGCAGCGAGGTTGCGCCAGGTTGGAGGTAAACCGGGCAAGATGAGGAGGAAAAGTGACAGGGGTCTGAGGGCCTCGGCGCCTCAGGGGAGACGCGGGCCGGGCCGGGCCTGAGCCGCGAGGGTGGGTTCCGGCCGCGGGGCTCGGGCTGGGGCGGTGGGCCCAGCCCCGCGCGCCCACCCGGGCCGCCTTACCGTGGCTCTGCAGGATCTCGTGCTTCAGGCCGCCCGTGTAGTCGATGAGCTCCTCCAGGCCGCGCTCGCACAGCTGCCCGTAGCCCGAGAACTTGTGCAGCACCTTCTCCAGCTCTCGCTCCACCGTCACGCACTGATCCATGCCGGAGGCGGCGGCGCTCGGCTCCCCGGCGCCCGGGTGTCCGCAGCCGTTCGGCCCGGGCCCCGCCGAGGCCGCGTCCTGCTCCTCGTCCCCCAGGCGGGCGGCGCGGGCGGCTGAGGCGGCGGGCGAGCTAGCCACGGCGCCGGGGGAGCCCGGCGCAGCCAGTGCCCGCCTGCCCCATGGCGCCCCGGCCCCCCGGCGCGTCGCCGCCGCTCCCTCTCACTCGCCCCACCCGGCCCCACGTCCCCGGCCCCCGCTCGCGGCGTTCGGGTGTCCGCGGCGGCGCCGCCGATTGTTTTTGTTTTCACGGGAACCGACCGATGACCTGGTTCTCCCGGGCGGCACCAAGCGCCGCCGGCGGGGGGGAGGGGAAACAGCCAACCCAGCGAGGGAAGGAGGCGGCGCGGGCCGTACCAAGCACACCCTCGAGGGGGAGCAGCCCGGAGAGCGCGGGTGGAGGAACGCGAGGGTCGCAGGCACGCGCCGCGGCTCTAAAGGTGTGGGCCGTACCACGCGGAAGGCGGGCAAGCGAAAAGGGCTAGGGTGGAGCGAGGACCCAATTGGCCCTAAGAGCTAAATAGGGAACTTTGCAGACAGCCCCAACGCTCGGAGAGCGCTACAACTACGCGCTCCGTAAACAAGAGGGTGGAAACCATCCCTAGCCACTCCGCCCAGAAGCGGGGAAAACGAACCAATGGGCGCGGGGAGTACGTAAAGAACCAACGTCCTCCAATCCCTAGCCGAGGCGTAAACCTTCAGCCAATCCAGGTTGAGGGGCTAAACCAATGGGCATCACTGTTGGAGGGGGTGACTTGGAAATCGTACGGAGAAACAAGTCGTTTCTGGAAAGCTGTGGGGAAAACAAGACAAAAGTAAAAAGGGCTGTTTCCCATAGGACTTCGTCCTAGCTATAATTTATTTCGTCTCCTCACCGCTCTCATTCCGACCTTTTGTAAACGGATCCGCCTCCTCAGATGAAAGAACCAAGCCAGGCTGCCCAAGGGCGGTGGTGCTGCGGGCGGGGGGCGCTAACGGGAATTAAAGGTGGGGGCGTTTCTGGGGGCTGTGAGGGGAGCTGCTTGCTGGTCGCGAGGGGCCCGCGCTGGGCGTCAGTGCTGCCCCGGCGGCTGCGACACCCAGGTCACACTCCCCAGCCCCCGCCGGCCGCGGCCCTTTGGCGCCTCAGCCTGGAGCCTCTCCTGCCGGGCCGCCTCGCCCCCGCGCCGTGTGCCGGGGAGCTTCGTGCAGTGGAAAGAACACGCGCCGGAGAGCTGGACATCCGGGCCCTTGACCCTTAGGAGCCTTATTCCCTTGAATCGGATTGGGTTTCTCTTCCCCCGGGTCGCCATGGCGCCTCCAACCTTGGCCTGTACCCCCTTGCTCATTCAGTTTTCGCTGTAGCGACCTTTGCGTTTCTCGTGGGAACCCAGGTACTTCTTGCCTGAGGGCCTCTGGACTTGCCCTTTCCTTGATCTGGAAAACTCTTCCTCCTACCTTTCTCATCCTAAAGTTTTAAGCTCACTTGTCCCCTTTGAGGGTCCTCCCCTGAGTCCACTAATGTAGTTTCTATCTTTCCGCACTGCCTCCCCCATCACTATATCATATTTATCATAATATTTGTTATAACACTAGTTTTACTATTTTCACACCATTTAAAATCTGAAATGATCTGATTTATTTTACTGTTTGCACCACCTCAATAAAACCATGAAGGCAGGCCCCTTGCCTGTTTTTGTCTAGAACAGTGACGGACAACAGTGGTAGGCAATCTTTTCTTTCTTTTTTTTTTTTTTAATTAAGGTGATAACCTTTTTGAGCCTCAATTTACTTTTTCATAATTTGGAAATAATTGGAATTAATAATACTTCACTAGATTGTTAGACTAAATGAGATATTAATAATATATGTAAATGTCCATAATAGGCTTATAGCTGCATGACAAAAGAAGGTGGTTATTATTAGAGTAGCCCCAATTGATGCTATTACAGATCTCCTTTCATCTCCCCACTTACCCCATTTTGCTTTCTCCCTCTTGGCAGGTAGCTCTGATTCCTGTTTCACTGAGATAAAAAAAAAAAAGTATCCAGCTCCAGCAACCCTCTGCCACTCTTCTCAAAGTATTGCTGTCTACCAACCATTTTGTGAACATTTCATATACCCAAAGGAAAAAGGGTCCCTTCTCAGGACAACCCTGGGACCTTCAGGCTTCATCTCCCCCTTGTCCAGATCTTCCTCCCCTCCCTGTTTCTGTTTCAGGTGGAATGGGTCTGAACTACTTGAGGGTGTGGAGGAATCTTCATTTAACCCTCCTCAAGCTGTTGACCTTTTCCTTAGTCTCTCTGCCAAACTGCCTAGACAGATCTATGCTTGCTCCTCCCTATCCTCCAACTATCTCCTTGATAAGCTCAGTCATCCTTTTTTCAGTCTTTTTTTCTCAAGGGGTTGTTATAAAATAATCCATGTAAGTCACTCAACATAATGCCTGGTACAAGGTAAGAGCTATTATTACCACTGATGAGAAATAATCAATAAATCATCATTACCTACAGCTTCAAATCGTAACTGTCAGCTGCATGGTCTGCCCAGTGTTGCAACCTATCACAATTCCCCATCCAAGCACCAACCACTTCTGCACTCTCAATGTGACTTGAGTATAGCTCACTGATGCTTTTTCTTCTCCTGGAACGCTTTTCTTTATTCTCAGTTTTTCAAACCCTCTCTTCAAGTAACAGGGCAAGTCTTTATTGACACCTAGAACCTAGGCCTGCACTCTTCAATACAATAGCCACCAGCCACATGTAACTATTCAAATTAAAATTTAAGCTAAATAAATTAAAAATGTTGTTCCTCAGTTGTACTAACCACTTTTCAAATGTGGCTGGTGGCTGGTGGCTACTGTATTAAGCAGCACAGAATGAACATATTCATCACTGTGGAGAGTTTGAAACAGGGTGATCTAGACCATGACCACAGTAAAGTTACCAGCCCTACCTTTAACAGCTGTAGGACTTCTCCGCAAGTCATCTAATGCCCAAGTGCATATCACCCCCATATTTTTAGTAAACTTCTCCAACTTGTATCTTATTTACTCAACTAGATTGTTAGCTTCCAGATCAGGACTGACTTCTTTTTCTCTCCCACAATTTTATCAGCATAAAAAAAGTGCCCTATGTATTTGTTAAAGGAAGGAGAATAAACAAATTAAAGAAGAGCCTACAAAGTTAGCTGAGAAGAGAGAGAAAAATAGTACTTGTAAGGGCAGAGACTTTTATGTTCCCTCTTTACTCTTTATTGGCTCTTTCTACCCAGTGCATAATTGCTTTAAGTCTAAACCTTAAATTCTCAGAGAAGGATCTCTAGAAACAAGAGGCAAAAAATTCAGTTTTCAGAGCTACTGCAAATTATTTTTCTATAATTGCATTTCACCATACAACAAAAAAATAACTGACTATATACACACAAACAATAACCTACTCCAGTATCAAATGGACTCCTGCCCTCCCTCCCCCCAATGTGCTGTTCAATCTGGAGAAGCTTTAATTTGCAATCATTCTGGACTTTGTTCTGATCTTCCCGTCCACTCCAAATTTGACTCAGTAAAATTTAAATAAATAGGCCGGGCGCGGTGGCTCACGCCTGTAATCCTAGCACTCTGGGAGGCCGAGGCGGGCGGATTGCTCAAGGTCAGGAGTTCAAAACCAGCCTGAGCGAGACCTCGTCTCTACCATAAAAATAGAAAGAAATTAATTGGCCAACTAATATATATAACATAAAAATTAGCCGGGCATGGTGGCTCGTGCCTGTAGTCCCAGCAACTCGGGAGGCTGAGGCAGGAGAATCGCTTGAGCCCAGGAGTTTGAGGTTGCTGTGAGCTAGGCTGACGCCACGGCACTCACTCTAGCCTAGGCAAGAAAGCAAGACTCTGTCTCAAAAAAAAAAAAAAAAAAAAAAATTTAAATAAATATTAATCAAAAAAAAAGAAAACCTGTCTTTTGACCAAAATACATATTCACTGTAGGAAAATTAGAAAATACAAGTAAGTAAACAAAAATAAAAATCACATGAAATCCTAAGACCCTGAAAAAAATGAGTTTTAGTATTTGGGGTGAATTTCCAGGCCATACACATTGCGCATACACATATACCCGTATGTGCATTTTTACAAAAGATAGTTCTGGTTATATTTACTATTTTGAAAATAGCTTATCTTGTCCACTTAACATTTCTCTAACAACAAAAAAAAATGTTTTTAGAACTGCTTTTGCCATCTTTTTGAAATGCCTAATACCTCCAGCTTAGCTTATTCAATATATCTCATATATATTCTTTTCACTTTGATTTATTCTTAGAAAACTAAAACCAGAGAAAGGCAAGTTAGAAAAAGTCATACTTTCATCTCTCAGATTTGAAAAACTATTTTTTTAAAAAAACTGCTTTGAAAATGTACTTTTATGCAAAATACACCTTCAGATAAGGACAAGAATTTAGACTATGTTTATAATTAATGATTATAAAAATAAATCAGAAATACTCACCTGGCAGTAGAGATACCATCATCAAAAAAAGCTTATCCATTGCACTCTGGATGTGCTGACCCCTGTGATTTCCCCAAATGTAGGAAACTCAACTGCACAATTTGTGGTAGTGCAGGATTGTGTTCATGCTCTCTCCTGAGGGGAAAAAAAATGAATCGGCAAGGTTTGCAAAGATCTCGTAGGAAGACCCATACTAATTTCCTGACTTTATCTAGCTCACAGCATAAAATGTGGTATACGTATACCATGGAGTATTATTCAGCTTTAAGAAACAATGGTGATATAGCACCTCGTGTATTTTCCTGGATAGAGCTGGAACCCATTCTACCAAGTGAAGTATCTCAAGAATGGAAAAACAAGCACCACATGTACTCACCCTCAAATTGGTTTTAATGGATCAACACCTAAGTGTTGAAAAACATTTATTGGGTGTCAGGTGGGTGGGAAGGGGGAGGAGGGAATGGGTATATACGAACATAATGAGTGAGATGTGCAACGTTTCGGGGATGGTCACGCTTGAAGCTCCTACTTGAGGGGGGAGGGGGGCATGGGCAATATACGTAATCTTAACATTTGTACCCCCATAATATGCTGAAATAAAAAATTTTTTTAAAAAGTAAGCATAAACTGACAAAATGTTATTAAGAAATACTGACTTAAGAAAAATAGCATTCCTTCTTATTTAAAAAAATCAATTTTCATCATTTTCAAGTCAAAAAAAAAAATCTCTATCTGAGACCTTTCTGGGAATAGCTGCTAAGATAAGTTTAAGAAATGGGTGAAAGCACAACTACTAGCTAAAAGTATTGATCTGAATGTTTCCTACATCTTTTATATCTCCTGTGTGGTTTGGGGCACATTGCCATTTAAATGCCTGTTTGCTGGCTGGATGAATGATACTTGTGACCCACTCTTAGAGCCTGGATAGGCAGTCTTGACAATAATGCCTTTCTTCTGTATCCACCCGGCTTCTTTCAGCTCCGCTAATGTTTGTAGCAGATGGCCTCTCCCCAGCAGGAGAGTACTCTCCAGTGTAGCCCTCACCACTCCTGGAGGCCAGAGCAGTTCTAATGTTGTCGCCCCCTCCATAGACTTCCATGAGAATGGTAAACGGTCATTGCCCTAGTACCTTGTGCTCAGCCTGTGGGAGGAGAGGTATTTATGTCTTTTGGATCTGCTCCCTCAGGTGTTACTAGTCTGAATCTTTTCCTTTCTGGAACCTTGATGTTTTTCTATACTTTGTTTCCTGCTCACTGTATGCCTTTCTAGCTGCAGCAGGAAGGTGCTAGGGCTGTAACCATGAAATAACTCATTCAACTCCTCCCAGCCTCAGTTTCCTTATCTACAAAATGAGACATTTGGAATAGATGACCTTTAAGTTCCTTCCAGTTCTGAAATTACAGAGATCCCAATGCTTATTAAGTAACATGTGAGGTGCTACACAACCAAACTGGAATGGGCAGAGGCATCCTTCCTGTTTTTGAAAGCTTGGAGTCTGAATCATTACTTCCTCA